CTAATTCAGATCAACTCTCATTCATCTCATACTTCATGTCTCACTCTCACAATCTCACATCAACTGGTTGTCATGCATATAGCAATCCCCATAGAACAGTGGGTCTTCTTCACCTTCCATTCGGTAACAGATGAGTTGTGGATAAACAATCAAAGCTGTGTACACCAGTTATTTAGTCCATCTTATTCATTCGTGTATCTGTGAGTGTGTGAGCACGCGCGTATAAAATATATGCATCAAGTTACAATGAAGTTGCTCAACACTGACTAACACTCTTCTATAAATCGACATAATTCCGATTAATTAGTGCATAATACATGATCTATGATGATAATTGATTAGTTGGAATATTCGAATGTGAAAATCACACGTGTTTCTGTTAGAAGTTTGACCGATGATTGAATAGAGTGTGAATAGTGATAAATTTAGTGAGAATGAATGTAGTGACATATTAGGTGAACGAATTGTCAACTGCATTTCGCAAACATGTTGCATTGTGATGTTTCAATTGATTAATGAAACATTGTTTCTTCTGATAATGGATTTTGTTATTTTGGTGATATACGGTAAACACATGTTGTTGTTCTTGATGATGATGATGATCGAATGCTTTTATCGGTTTATTGGGATATTCCAAACAAGCTATTGATCTCCACCGATCACAGATAGAACGGGATATTTCTGTTGAATGTTGCTGTCTGGTGCTTTGCAAAATACTATCAGCTTGTGAATGCAGCTAATTCCGAGGGATCCATTCAAGAGTCTGTGATGTGAACACAGACTGACCAGTTCACATGTGAATATTGACACGTGGAATAAACTTATATTTACGAGTGACAATCGACCAGTTTGTTGGTGCGATAGCTGTCCACAATCGATATAGATCTGCATATTCACATGTGCGTGTGTGTGTGTGTATTGATGTTTTCATACAACGTTTGCATACTACGTCAATACGACGACAACTGATACTCCCATATCACCCAAACGTTTGATCATTCGACCACGAGAACCCATCAAATAACACACATTTTAAACTATGCATATATACGTCATATATACTAAATATCCATCTTAATCCGTTCAACATGATGAATGTGGAATGTTGGATTCATGAGTTGTGCAGAGTATGGTGATCTTTTCACAACATACGCTAACCGACTATCCATGTAGGTGACCGCTATTTGACAACATTGGAGCATTTAAGTGTGGATCATAAGGTAGTGAGGGATATGAGCTAGTGGCGTGAGAGGGTGATAGATGAGCAGTAACTTGTGATCAAAGAGGGTTTAACAAACGTTATTTGATATTTGAAATTCAGTTTACAATGGCAGCGATTTCCATGTGTATAGTTAAATTGTGCACGATTGTGAATAGTGAACCCTCATATATTGACTGTTTTCAATCGTTCTACACACTGTCTGGAAACATTGACCTATACTTATAATTGTTAACAACGAATGCAATTGACTTGACCAGACAGACATGTGAACGTTTGTGTATACAACACAGATTTAAAAAATGTTTTCGTTAGAAGTTTATGCCAAATCATCATCCAGAATCTATCGACAAAGTCGCAAGTTCATCAGAGTGCATTGAAAACACTAATAACAATAATGATTATGGTAGAGTTCTCGTTTACAAATCCATGGTTACATTAATACGTAACTGTTTTTAAACATGAGATTTATAATAAATATGAGATTTCAATGTACTTGATAATTGAGTCACCATTTCCAGTCACCTCAAGGGTAGTCGATGAGAGGATGTTGACCAGTAATATCTCTATTCCTTGTTGATTTGACTCTCAGAAAATGGCAAAATCACAATTCATTAGGGAAGTTAGTTGTAGTTTCCCGGAATCTGTATAATTTGTTCAAATCTCTTAGTTTGGTAAAGTGGATAGCTTATCGACTAAATGTTCTAATAGTTGAGGATGTTTACAATTATTGTACACGTGTGTTTTCTATGTGAACTCGGTAATATTCGAACTAGAACAACACATATAAGCGAACAATTGTTTTCAATTAGATCGTCATCAGGCTTTACTCTAATATACATGAATATTTATACGAAAATGTAAACCAATCAAAGCAATATGAGCCAATAATCACAATGAAATAGAATAAGTCTCTACACATAATGGGTAAAAGTACAAGTTGATAGTAGGATGAAAGGTGAACTGATAATAGTAAGAATAATAAAATACAATAACAAAACTCTTATCAATAGTTAAACGTTGGAAACCCTTATACATGAAAGTGGATTGGACTGTTCTCTGGGATTGTCTATTGAAGAAGGGTGTGTCTGAGAAGTTTATTAACATCCTAAAAGCCCTATATACAAACACCTCAGGAAGAGTGAGGGCATACAACCACCTCTCTCCATTGTTCTATTCGAGCAGTGGGGTTAGGGAGGGCTGCCCAATCTCACCATTTCTCTTCAACTTTGTCATCGATGACATTCTGCAAACAGCTCTGATGGATGTAAGTAATGGCGGTGTGGATCTGTTGCCTGGAGGAAGACTTCTCGACCTTGAGTATGCGGATGATATTGTCTTACTGTGCGATAATGCTCAAGCCATGCAATCCAAACTTAATCAGTTGGCAGTCAGTGTCCGTAGGTATGGTATGTGCTTTGCACCTTCGAAATGCAAAGTACTTCTACAGGACTGGCAGGATCATAATCCTGTACTCACCCTGGATGGTGAGCAGATAGAAATAGTCGAGAAGTTCGTGTATCTGGGTAGCTGCGTAAGTGCTGGTAAGGGTGTGAGTGATGAGATCAATGCACGTATAGTGAAAGCCAGAGCGGCTTATGCCAATCTGGGCCACCTTTGGCGCCTTCGTGATGTTAGTCTGGCTGTAAATAATCGGATTTACAACGCGTCGGTGAGAGCAGTTTTGCTCTATGCTTGTGAAACCTGGTCTCTCCGAGTTGAGGACGTTAGAAGACTCTCTGTGTTCGATCATCGTTGTCTCCGAAGGATTGCTGACATCCAGTGGCAACACCATGTCAGTAATGCAGAGGTTCGGCATCGTGTGTTCGGTCACAGAGACGATAATCCAATTGGTGTCACCATCTTGAAACACCAACTTCGGTGGCTTGGACATGTTCTACGAATGTCGCCCCAGAGAATTCCACGCCGCGCATTATTTGCCGACTCTGGGACTGGTTGGAGAAAGAGGAGAGGTGGTCAATGTATGACATGGTGTCGTGGTATGAAAGAAAGCTGCAGAGGGCTGGCTTGTGTCGGTCCTTCACTACTCCCTGGTTGGGGTACAACACAGTGGCTAGAGACGTTATCAGATATGGCTCAGAATAGAAGCCAGTGGCGATCATGCTGCAACCTTCTTTCACTTTCTTCATAAAACGTGGTTGTATCCTTAACTGAAAGATTTCTTCTGATTGTACCCTTCTGTTCCCCTACTATTACTATTATTATTACACTACCTTACACCAATCTCTTCAATATTGTTTTCTATATCTTCTCTTTTACGTTCCCCACTTTTCTCTTATTCTTCTTCTTAGATTCTCATTGTTTTGTGTGGCGCATATATATTTGGCGCACTCCTGTACCAATATATATGTGTTCAAATAAAAATAAATAAAAAAAGTCGATTAGGTACAAATCAGTAGATGTTGGAAAGCATCGACAGATGAACACCTGAAATCTTCGTATTACATAATAATCACAATATATTATACATCTAATTCGGGTGTATTGTGGATAACATTCGATAATCTGTCTGATAGAATAGTAGTGATTAAGTGTAACACTCAAATCATAGTTTCCTCATGATAAAATGCCGTGTAACAAAATATACGATCTAATTGAAAACAATTGTTCGCTTATATGTGTTGTTCTTTAATATTCCAACTGACAATTTCGATACAGTAAACTGCAAAAGAGATTTGATGACACGCGATTGACAGGCAATGGATTGTATCTGAGGCCATTTATTGACGACTATGTAATAAGGAAATATTAGGACAAACTGACTCAACAATATGAATACGTGTAGAAATGAAATCCACCGTTTTACACTTGAGATTGAACAATGTATAAAGCAGTAAACAGATTAACACAGTAATGTTCAGTGTGGACTCATTTTTACTTTAAACTGTATATTATATTATGCATTCATAGTTAGACAAGATGTCTGCTCTAGTTTCCTGGAACTATATTTATTGATCAACTTGTATATCCTAAATTATGCATACTGAATGATCGGATAGAAGACTCACTACTTGGATTAAAAATTCAAGATCACCCCTAATTCAGTTTATCGAGTCTGTTGTAGAAAAAAATTCGATAAGTGAGTTACTGCCCCAATAGTTCAGTGGTAACGGTCTCAGACTGTTCGGTTTGGTGACACGGGATCGAACCTAACAGGAAATACCAGTTTCCTCAAGATTACAGTTATCTTGTATTGATGAGTATCAAATAGCACGAGATTTGAGTTCAAGACATCCAGTACACTACCTCCATCCACCTTATATGAGAAAGATATTTTTAAACTGGTTGGGACAGTCCTTAACGTTTGAACTTAAGTTCCATTTTAGTCCCGGTGATTAGATCATTTATTCGTGAAATTAGCAATAGAGATACACAAAAACAATCCTACAAAATTTCAAATTACATGATAATCATCTTGTTCATTTTAATACACTTCATAAAATCTCGTCAATAACCACATTATGTATATAAGTCATTTAGGCTGATCTTAATTTAATAATAACCGTTTATTCAATATAATGCGCGTAATACCCAATTCATTTTTAAACAGTACAAAAGTCTGAGGAGTTTGAGCAAAGAAATATATATTTGTAAATTGGTCGGAATGAACATAAGCACACAATTTAGCGGTAAACTAAGGAAGCATTTTGTACTACAACAGATAAAGTTCGATAAGTTGAAAAAGTAGTAGCTGACAGTTCAAGCACAACAAATCAGTTATTGACTGCATACATATGAAACCTCGGTAAGTTTACTTATTTCATTCACATTTGAAAACATATATCATAGGTTGCCCATCAGATTTCAGGTAAACACGTTGACTACTAACTGGTTGATCAATTGGGAAATTTTTATTTGGAGGATAGATTATTTTTGGAATGATGCTAGGGCACACACTAGAAAAGTCAAATGTCCCACTGACCGCATTGGACTCTTTGCGTAAAACAATTATGAAGGCTGGGAAACCTTCGGCTTTGCGTTCAAATACCTCAAAATTCAACTCTTCTGTCTGAAATACAAGGAGGGAATTGCAAAAACATTTCTTCGTAAAGCCTGATAGAGACATGAATCACAGAACTACTGTAAACAAGCATTCGTTTATTGATTGTTTTGATGCACGCATCTCGTTATTTTTACAAGAGACTTCAAATAATATTAGTTCATTTTAGGATGAATATTATACCGTTGATAAGGGGTGTAAGTCAAGAAGTGTTCGACTTCTAGCCACTAAGTCTCAAGCTCGAACCCCGATTCACCTACTTCGACTTGGGAATTCAAATAGTACTATTAGCACTCCCACATAGAGTATGGTTCGTACCCAAGTACCTAGTGAGAATGAAACTCATTATTCTTCAACAGTGTATGAGTATGTCAATGGTCAATCATACCGTTGACACAATACTGCATACAAACGGAAAGACAATGCATGATAGACCCTTCAACATACAGTATGATAATTCCACTACAGTCAATACACACATTGTGCAACTATCACTAAAATTATTCGGGTGAGATGAAATACAAACTGATAACCCAGTAACTGCGTGCAGTATCTAAATAACTAAGTATCAGGTTCATTGCTGAAAAGAGCAGTATAACCTCAAATTTTACAATCAAATTAAAAATGATGCAAGAAATCAGTACAATAATAATCAACTTACAATGCGACTGGGTTGCAACATCCTGAAACCTCCCCATAGCAAGCTTTCATTTTTACGGATCGCTACAAGATCTTGAACAAGTGAGAGAGAAGTAATCCCACGACCACTTGATGTTGCGGACTAAAACAGATGGGAAGACAAATGATCCATTATTTGTACATGACAACTTTAATGCAACAAAACACTTGGGGAACCGATTTTATGCACATCAACAGACATCGATATCTTGGGCGTCATCATTAGACTAGTTAACATCTCATGAAAAACAAATATACGAAATAAACTAAACGTTTTTAAGCCAAGAAGCAATAAAGAGAACTGAGTGAAATGAATGCTCACAGTTAACACGTTGTATTTTCAGAAATTGAAAATATTATAATCTATACAAAACATATGTTTCTAGAAAATCAACTCCTACAATGACAAGAAAAGGAAGTTTCACCCAGAAAAATCTGCAGTGAAAATTTAAAGGAGGTTCGAGTGAGTGGTTAACTACGACATAGTAAGAATCACATTTTGAATGTTAAAATTGAAGCAACTCTGATCATATATCGGGAGTCAGTCAATGCTTCTAATCTCCGTAACTACATATTTGAGGTAACATTAACTTATTTCAGGTTACATTTATCAACCTAGTTGAATGTGTGATTACTACTGAACAAAACAGACAGTTACTCAAGGCTAGAGGAGTGAGCAACTAATACTTTGATAGTTAAAGCTGAATAATCGTTTTCTGACAATGTAATCTACTTGCTTTTCAGTGTCAAATGACAGTACGTTTTAGACATGTATAGCAAGCTTATAAACAACTGTTTATTATGCAATCTATTGAGAAATTTTCCATGACAAAACTGGTTGAAAATTTTGCGTTTGATGCAAACGATCCCGTTAGTTTTAATGTTAATACCTTAAAACCTACGTAAAATAAATATTTAACAATTAAGAGCAAATGTCGATAATATTCTGGCATATTCGATCTCTAGTAGTCTAGTCACTATACGTACCTCGACTGTTTCATTAAATTTAAAGGCTTTCAAATATTCTGTAAAAGAAGTAACATTTGATAGCATCGCCGAGAAACCAACTCCAGATTGATCCCAAGGCATGGCTAATTGAGATAAAAGCACATCAGTTTCGTTAGAGCCAGTGAACACAGTCTTCTCATCAAACGGGTAAAAATCGGCAGTGAATTTGGTATTTCTCGTCTCCTCATTTAACTCCGAACCATAATACAGTAGACAAGTGCCTAGAAATAAAGCAAGCACAAAAATATACCCCCAAAAAATGGCAAAACTCAGGGGAAGTACAGGGTTTGCTAAAGGAATAACTGACTATATTTGCGACAGAACACAGCAACGTAATTGTGACGGATTATTATGATGGTCACAACTAACTAATTTACAGATTGGTAATGAATTCATTCTCCCCCATTCATTTACTCTGTTTACAGTATGCTAAATCCTTAAGGTTGTTATTTATTGGAACAATAACATAAAAATCGACAGCACATTCGTTTCCAGTTGCTGTGGTTCGAGACAGGTTAAAACTGATCAGTGATATAGATGCGTTCGTCCCATATTTGATGATGAGCTCTGAACATGTTACTAGTTGTAATTTCATTCGCTATCTTCGAACTAACTTTCCTATACGCAGTTGTCTACTACCGTCGACATCAGTGTTCTTATCTCAGTTTCCACTACGCGAAATTCCTCCTATTATGTTGGTATCAAATAAGGCAACGTGAGATAATTTGCATTTGTCACCACATCTTTAGTGGCTGACTAGAAAATTCACAAACTGTTCTGGTGGGTTTGACACTGTTTTGGAGCGATACATTTCTGAATGACTAATCGGTTTACTTAGACGTTTGGGCCATCGATTTCCATAACTCTGCAGATATTGCAATAAATCTTTCGGTCTCACGTTACATCAAATGGAATAATTAAAAGTCGTACTTCTACATACTTACATGTTTCTATAAAGGGCTTAAACACCACTATGTCAAGTAACGATGAGACTAGACTGAAGAACCCGTGATTGTTGTCATGTTCACTGTTTCTTATCTTTGGAAGGAACCAGAGACAGTTACATGGGAATTTATACATCCAATACATGATGGATGAAGTTGTACCAATTAAGCTGGCATCAACCTCTCAATACAGATTGGTGCAGAAAGGGACTACTAAAGAACGCAGAACACACTATTCGCATAATTACATCTCAGCGTACGCTAAAAGGTAAATTTATTGTTACCTTGCGTAATTGGTGCTGAAAGGTTTTACTGCAACAAAATCAGTATTTCATAAAGCAATTATTAGTACATAGTAATCTTGACACGTAAAAGGATATAAATGGTAATTTGTAGCTTGATAATTCGGTACTTCAGATCTCTATAGCTCTTCAATACTGCCACTACTTGAGATATTAATGAACTTAGTCAGGAACAAGTCCATGGTTCTTCTTCAGTACGTTTTTAACCGATGTAAAAACAATTGTTTAAGCTTCTTATGACAAACGACAGACTCAATTGCAGAACACACATGACACATAACTCAATAGTGTGTAAAATGACGTGACGTCATGTAAAGTAACTTAAAAGACTAAATAAGCACTTATTTGAAACATACAATTGGAATTTCTGCAAGTTAAAGGAATCACCACTAAGTTTGTTTATAGTATTGAGAAGGAAATAAATTCAACACAAATGACGACGCTCACCTGGAAGCAGAAACGTAGCAGCCAAAGCAACTAGATCAGACTGTCTAGGGTCAGTAGTTGAAGCAGCTGCCAAAGCCATGGAATCTCTGTCATCCACACTTAGCATATCATACGTCAAAATATTGTTGTTTATCACGAGAGGATTAGTTGGAGGTGCTTTCCTACAAAATAAGCTTCGAATAGAACAGCTTACCAACCACGCTGCTTAACAAACTGACGGCTTACAACTACATGTGCTGCTGGCGAATCTTTCGTCCCGAGATACTGCATGGAAGGGTCTTCCTTCTCACTAATACCATATCCTGTATTACCAGCATCAACTGCCAATAACCTTAGACGTTTACAGTAACACACAAGTAACTTACTTCGGTTTCCCACTGGACTCCGACATTTCATCGACAACCTTTCTAATTCTGCGAACAACCTCCACTGATTCATTCAGGTAAATTTGTGATGTCGGATATTTAGCAAACCATTGTGAACCCAACTATTAAATAAAATTAACTGAGAAAAACGCACCTCTTTTGTAACCGGGGCGGTGGGTTCTGCACTGTTTTCAACATAGAAAGCAACATTGTCTAAGAGAATTCCATCTATGCCCTCATTGAGCCAAAACTTTGCCACATCCTACAATGGATTCAAACTTCATTATACTACGGCTTAACTTACAGAAACACGATCTAATGTAACTGACTCTCTCAGATTAAGATCAACAAACTGTGAACCAAAACTGAGTAATATCCGGTGCCTTGTATAACGGTTCTTGCATCGCCACCTAAACGGGAAATCTAACGAAATAGTAGAAACGTTCTTATCATGTTCTTACCCGTCCACCACTCGGATATGGTTCGAGCATAGACGTTGAATCAGTCCATGAATGTTTCGCAGAGACAGAATTAAAGTCCATGGTCAAGACCACATGAATACCATTTTTGTGGCATGACCTCACAAAATACTTAAAATCTTCCATAGTACCAGCTGCAGGGTCAATAGTATAGAAATCGTCCACAAGACCCAATGTTTTCTGGTCATTAGTAGACTGACCGGAGAAAATAGAACTGAGGACAATGAATCCCGCACCTATAGTACTTTTGATATATCCGAGTCTTTCGACCAAGCCTAAACGTAAGAGAAGAAGGATATGAACTTAACTAACCTCGTAGATCTCCGATTTTGTCACCGGTAGAATCCGCGTAAGCAAATGGGTTGACCCAATACCCAGTACTTGATCTCCAGAAAGGCAGAACAGGTCTTGGAGGACACTTGGGAGTGAACACTATTATCAAGATTGCCGCTAAGAGGAGTCCAATCCAAACAATCCAAAACAATATAAATAGACCCCATCGAAGACGTAACCACAACGGCTCTTTGCTGTCTAGCTGCATCAAGTCTTCTCTTGTAAGTAAACGATAGGTGTCTTTTTGTCCTGCTTCATTTTCATTCGTATCAGGACTATCTTTTGAGGTTGGTAAAAACCCCACCTCCTCGTCGTATGGAACTCTACCATTGGTACCGCTCAAACTCATACTTTACACAAACCGACCGCTTGTAAAATGAGAATGATGAAATGTAGATGACAATAGAAAAGAAAAACAAAATAGCAAGTTGCTCAATCGGTCATTCGAAATATAAGGGTGAAGGCTTTTACTCTAACACAAATTTTTTTGACGACGTGACAACTTTAAAATCTTTTAGTATTCACTTATTGACTTAACGCCTAACATTGTGGGGATTTGAATGACAAGCGCACTCCCTATCTAAATCGCTACTGAAGTCGAGACCTGATCGACCAAGTACCAGAGACCGATTCTTACCAAAAAATTAAAGCAGCTGTAGTACAACGCACATCAGTATCTGACGAAAAAAGACTTCAGCAACTGTTAACAGCATGCGAACTAGGTGACAAGAGACCATCTCACTTGTTACGGCATATGAAACAACTCTCAGGTCCGTACAAATTAGACAAAACCCCGCTTAAACATATGTTGCACTTCAGCTGAACTAGTTTATGGTACTAAATTAACATTGCCAGGTCAATCGGTTGATCAAGAATCAACAGTGTCAAATGATCCTAGTGGTTTCGTAGGCCGTCTATTACAAACAATGCAAAACATTAAGGCGATACCTCCGCGTGAACGTAAAAACCGCGTATAACTTGATAAAGACCTGGAGACTTGTAAATTAGTTTTTGTCTGAGTCGACGCAGTTAAAGAGCCATTGAAACAACCGTACGAAGGACCTTACCAAGTAATTAAACAAAAAAACAAACACTTCATCAACGAAAGTGCAAAGAAGGAGACTATCGCTATTGATATAATAAAGCCAGCTTTCTACGAAGCGCAACAAGACAAAGAAGATGGCACTGCAGTTAATCAACCCCTCCCACTAGTTCTACGAGAGCAGAGGAGGATGAAAATCCTAGCATCAAGCCTATTTGCTTAACACGTTCAGACAGGACTGTAAAGAAAACCACGGGTAGTTAGAAATAGCTACAACTTCACCTGATCGCTTGAATGTGTGCAAACATACTAAAGCAACTTTCTTCATGACACTCACTAAATTTAGAGTATACTGGAAATCATGTCATTCTGTTTAGCAATCATATTTGGTTTCATAATATCGGCGTTTATCGAGTAATGAGAAGGAGGGATAACTTTGATATGGAGCATTTTGAGTCCACAGAATCCACAGTTCACTGTTAAGGAGGCTAGGTATATTCTAAACTTTGAACTAAAATATCCAGAGTTTGGTCGTTATATTAAATTCTTGGTTTGACAGAGATGTAGCTGTTGTTTCAACGAATGGTCAATAGTCTTTGGGTATTCTCATTTACCAAAATAAAATACGTTATTCTCATTGTTCTTTTGTCGGACTTGTATGGTTATATTTGTTCCCAATTTATTTCTTTTATATGCGTGATTGTGTGAAGACTAGCATGTTACTGCTAACATAACTAAAGCGCAAATGTACACCACCTCTTCGTGTTTACGCTCGAACCAGCAGCAATGAGGCCAAACGTATGTTACTACCGTTTTGTTATTATTTTATTTGAGTTTCCACTTGGTGCAAATCATTTACTTCTGTACATTCGAGGCAAGCACGTAGAAAATTCGGTGCAAGCACACATTGCAGGCATGAAGAAAAGTTATTCTACGTGTTCTCGCTCACACCACATATCATCGAGTATTTTGGATGCATTTATTTATTAGCTGTGAACAGCATTTTTGCCGTCTTACGTCAATTTTCATAATGTTTGTGCTTATTACACAGCTTTTATTCCAGTCAACCAAGAGTTTGACGTAGTTGTTTTTCACTATCTGAGTGAATATGAAACCAACTGTAGTGTGTTCGTTTGTACCAATCTGAACTGGAGTAAGTGAAATGCATTGTTTATTTGGTCACAAATGGACTATGGTCAGATTTGTTGAAACAAAGGTGGTCTTCAAAAACTTTTAACATTTGGTTCACCACCATACTGAAGTTAATAAAAAAGGATGTCTGGTGGTTGTTTGATAAATGCAGTTTGAGATAATACTGTTCTGAATTAATTGTAAATATCGAATAAGTCTCTTGTATACAAACATAAACAAATCTAACCATCATGTGTATCTTCATTTTTGAAGGGACTGACATATTAATGTGTAACTTGTCTGAGGAGGGAAAATTATATGAGCAATAACTGACGTTAATAGCTTCTTCTGTTCGTAATGAAATTGCATAAATCACTAATGTAAGTGTCAAATTATTTAGCCACGTATTCTTCATAAGTAAAACGATACACTTTTGTTTCGAACGTGGTAAGTGAACTAAGTCATTGGTGAATATTTATTTATGATTTGTCCGATATAAAGATTGAAAACGAATTTCGGTAAAAAGGATCGGCAAACACTGACCAAATCATAAACAGAGATCTAATTCAATTGATTTGGAGTCGAATGTGAGTGATCCCCAGCTTCGGTCAAACGCAAACCATTCAGCTAAACGAACTTAAAAATTTTGAAACCCTGAAATACCCGAATTACCTATAGTTTAAGTTTTTCAGTACGCAATCTGATGATGACGACATGCTTAACGTCAAGTTCAAAACTGGAATGCTATGATAGCAACCAATGTCAACCAATCGACACTATCACAGTCAAAGTTTTGTATTTTTGGATGTAGTTGTGCAGTGTGAACTCTATTTAGTTAACCGCGATGCATTTTTGGAGATGATTTGTTGTCGGAACTGGTTGAAAAAATTCAAAAGCACAATCGAATCTTGCTCAACTGAAGAACTTTTAATCGAACAGTCCCTGTCAAGAGATAACATCCAGGTCTGTAAAAGCCATAATGGAATTAGTTGGTGCAATTGTACTGCCTTTAGCCACGGGCAGGAAACACCAAAACATTTCAGAAATCTTAGTTAGCCACAGAACAGAAAGTTAAAGGCAATAATTGGAGTGCACACACGCGAGAAAATTATGTGAGCATGCGTTCTGGCAGCCACTTCGGACTGGAAGTATACTTAACCTTAGTTCGTAATTGTGGCAGTTAACCTGGCGACCAGTCAGATTGCAGCGGAATTTATCATTTCAACCTGTCTTTGTGAGCGATTGCCATCGGCTATCCTAGTTCTGTGATTCGTGCCAGCGTTTTCGTGTCGCTGCAACCTTTATTCCGGTAGTTTACTGAAATTCCGTCATTTACGCTGTTCTCCAAATTTTAGCGCTTATGATTTCGAATCAATCTGGTTTTCTTGTTTTTTGCTAATACTTTGGTCAGCTGGCCTGTTTATTCTTTCCGGCACGCTAACGTGCTCCATGTGACAAAATGTGATGCTTTTTGTTTTGAATAATCTCTTTGTAGATACCAAATACGAGGGCAAGCATTTTTGGCTGGAAAAAATGTTGGTGTCGCCTGGGATTGATTAGCTTTCCATATATTCACCTCTATATATTATTGATGGTTTAGTAGAGATTATGATAGTAAACGGTTTCCGTTTTGTTATTCTATTTAGTATTATGGATAACCCTCTTCTGTCAAGGAATCGAACCAGTACTGAGTGTCTAGCAATGGATACCAGTGGTATATTTAGAAGGACCACTAGACCCATGTATCTGACAATCTGAGACCAAGTCAGAAATGCTGTTGGTCTATTGCTGAAGGCTTTTATTGAGTGTATAGCATCATGAGACCACTTGGGCAAATTACGAGAAGCGTGAACGTAAGCTTAACAATGAAAAGCCGAAAATCCGCCAACCGTATGTGTTGTATGTATTTTGTTTGGGCTGAAGTCGGAAGCCAGACTGCCAGGATCATAAAGTAAAAGGGTAAATGACTGTCATCATGCTAGCGTCTTCATAAATCAAAGCTTACCGGTTGCATCGCCATGTTTTGTTTGAGGAATAATCTCAAACGGGACACATAAGATGATGCAGGAACAGCCTTACAACGAAAGGTATCTGAAAAATGATGTGCGGTTTATGAGATTCAGTAAACGTCAGTTAGAAGTTGTTATATCGTGTGATTCTGGGCAGATTAGGCCGAAAGTCTGTTATAATTATATTCAACAGCCTGGAGATGTCAGCTCTTCTTCGCTCAAACCATATTTCCGGATAACATCATTGCAGCTTCAGTGGTCAGTACTTCCAGGATCACTGTTGATTACAATAGCACTCACCTTAATACCGAAACTATTTCTCTCGTAGCAAGTCCACTTCTTATTTCCGAACTACTAATGTATTCCAATGTGCTTGCATCTCGTTTTACGGAAAATTATCCAAGAAGATTTTCTGTACAATAAATTCAAATCGTCTGTAGTTAAACAGACACTTAATGTTGATTCACTGCCAATTGCACTTAATCAAGACGTAGAACACTACTCTACTAAGACTTCAGAATATCATAGTGTTCGTCTCGTAATTTCAACGCTTGTGCACATTAACGGGAATAAGAAATAAAATTGCTCTGGTTTCTAAACTTATATGCTTCAGTACCTCGTTCAAATACCAAGTAGGCTAAACTAAAGAGGTATCGTGATTATCCTTTAATGTGAACTGATATGTTACTTAAAGTAGCTGACTGTAGATATTTAAGCATATATACTTTGAAATTAAACTATAAGCTAACGAGACTTACCTAAAAACGTTGAGTTTCTTACCACTGCCACTTCATGGTATTCGGAAACAGAGGGCCTGCCAACATTTCGGCCTCTCAAGGTCGTGTAGACTAAAGTGAGGCGATTTTAAAAGTAAGGTGTCTGAGTGCTTGACTAGTCACGGGTCTTACCTTTATCATTAAGAATTATATTTTTTGACCAGATTAAATCATTTTCAATCACTGGGCTTAAGAATTTGAATTAAGTGAAACATGTTTCGTTTTTGTGGCGCCGTAATAAAAAGGTTTAGGGCAACCTGACAAAACCCCACAATTTCCCCTGATCTGAGATTTTTCGTCGAAATCTCAACTTGCTTTGTGGAAATCCCCAAAACTCAAAGAAAGTTTGTGGCTTTGTCTGATGTTGAGGGAATACCATAAATTTTCGTCCGAGTTCGAAGCAAACCCCAAAAGTCCTCAGATTTTAAAGATAGGGTTTTCGGCATCCTTGTTTCTATCATGAATTAGTGTCAGCTATACTGCAAACGTACTTAACGGTAATAAAAATGAGGGAGTATCATATGGCAAATCGTTGCTTTCTCCTTGCTCTCGTTCGACTAGGCAACGATTTCGAGGTCGTTCGGCGTAATAGTTCACTTCCACCCTTGCGTTCATTCAGTCTTCATAGTGAATCATTACTCTTCGTTCTTAGTGTTAGTATTTTCGAACCTTACCCGTGTCCATCTTCTAGCTACTGTTAACAGCACTTTTCCCACTGGTCTAATATTCCTCTACTTTTTTATAACACTCAACTGTTTCATCAGAAGTTGTCATATATCCTCTTCAAACGCAAGTCTAGATGCTTGTAAAATGTTGCCACTTAGGACTATTCTGTCAACAAATCAATCAACTTCAGTCAGCCTGATATACAGTGAGAATGTTAAAGTTTGATGCTTGGACGCAAATAATTTGTTTTGGGAATCTTATGGTGCTGTTTCGTTTCGCTAGATTGTGTGACTGAAAGTCGTGCGCTTGTTGCTAGTTGGAAAGTGTTCCTTTGAACTTGTGTCGATATTCCATTTGATTCAGCTGCGTGTATTAAGTATCCTGATGGTTTGGAAATTCGTCAGCATAACATCTACACATTTATTATCACTGTTAAACCAGCCTTGTGTGCTTCCATAGTTTATACATGAACTGTTTGTTTTGTTTCTTCCTGATTACTCTCTTCAATATTATTATTAATTGCCACATCATATGTCCCAAGTTTTAACTGTTTTCTATTTTGTAGTTGTTATTTAAGAAATCTCAAATTTGAATGACTAATGATGAAGGGTTGCAGCGTCAGCTGCTTCAAGAATTGCAAAAACAACGATTCCAACAATTGGGTCATCAGTTAACTTCAATCTGTTGGGATAAATGTGTTACGAAATTAAGTAATTCACTTGACTCTAGAACTGAGAGTTGTATAGTCAATTGTGTAGAGCGTTACATTGATGTTTCCGGTGCACTTACTCGTCGTCAGAATGAAACACGTTTAGGATTTATGGATGTACAACCAAATGATTAGTTAATGAAAATACATCGATTGCAAATTTCTTTCTTCTCGATTCAAACCTTTGATTTTTTCCAAAATAATTGATTGACCTGACTTATATTTCAGATGGTTAATTTCCCCTCAATACGGTAAGATGTCAATAAAGTGTATGTAATGTTTTGTTTGTTACTTTCAGTCTGCTTAAATGCACTGTTGGATCTGCATTTTGTTCAGTAGGTCTTACTTTCAAATAAAATAAATACTGAAAAATAATGCTAATTTAAACAACCAGGTGCCGTTTTCACGTTTATTATCAAATACAACTACTTATCCGGAGTACGGAATTACAAATATTCAAGATGATAGTGATTTTGACAAACGTGTATTAAATAATTCCGCACCGGTCATTGTTGACTTTCATGCTAAATGGTGAGTAATTATTGTGTAACTTATACAGAGTTGAATACTAATTTTCTGTTGATATCCCAAAAGATACTGGTTGAAAGCTGTGTATCGCTTCTCCTCATGTGTTTCGACTGACTAAATTTGATTGTTCAATATTAAGAATTTTTAGTATGAGCGTTTGTGCTATCAACTAGATCACAAATTATAGTTCTGAAATATGACTTCATTTTTAAGGAAAATCATTTTAGGGTTGTATCGTTCTCACTTGTAGACTCGAAATCTTGTGAATGCTTTGGTTTTGCGATTGCTTTGAATCATATGGGTGCTGTTTATGACATTTAGTGTCTTTATCTACCCACAATTACATGATATAATGTATCGATTTTGAGTTTTTGTGGTATATGTTTTAAGTTCTTATGACGAAGTGGTTTTTGAGAAGCAGTGGATGCTCATACTTTAGGTACTGACTAGTAGTGGAGTCTAGCAAACTGAGACTCAATCCCAATGCCCGTCTCCTTAAATACCAGTGGTTCATTTATTCGAGTATTAAATTACATTAAACACGTAGATTGTTTTAATGTGAACACCATTAATGTAATGTATCAGGGACATCCGGTTAACGAGCCATGAACATGTCGAAGTGTGCGACTTGAATCACACTGCTAGTCACTGGGATATATATATATATGGGCAGTATAGTATTAATATACTAGTCAAACCTTACACGGGCTATGATTTACCTATTGAAACACTTGTCATCCACTTTCATGACAATAAAAGCTCCCTTGGTTGGTAGCATAAATTTGCATAAAATTATTTACGTAATATAGCAAAAAACGTAGTGCTTGACGCAACATAACACCAAAAAATAACTCATAATAAATAAGACTTATAAAGCAGTACCTTAATGAAATCAGATGTCTAGAATTCGTTCAAGGTAAAGTTGAATAGTGACTAAATAAGGAGATAATATAATTGAACATATATTTACCAAATGAATGGATCAGAGATTTGGTGTAGGATATCAAGTGTGTATTAGTGAGTTGCGAACTTTTATCGACTAATGTAATTAGGATATGTGCTACTCATACACTTAATTACCTTCTATCTTGATGTTCAATGATAGTTATCATAAAAATAGAGTGAAACAAGTCTAAGTATGGTCAATAATAAATATGTATATATTTTTGTTATACCTTAGTGAGTAGAAAAATTGTATTTATGACATTTTGTGATTTGATCTAAGCCACTTCTCCAGAGTAAGTAAATGACCGGATCAAGTCACGAAACATCATGAATAGACTTTCCTACTCATCGGGATATAACAAAACAAAGTATAATCATTGTCAACTTTCTACTTGGTGTTCAATTTATTTGAAACTACCAGGTCCAACGTTGGCATTAATACCTAAAATGTATGGTCTGTTATAATCCTAACATGACTTCGTGAAACCATTTATGGTTGGGTCGAACTGTTATGACGGTTGGTGTCCAAAATCTTATGTTAATACATGATATGCTACGCGCAAACCCCCACCTACTTGAGTATGAACACAAGACTAGACGAGAAAGTATATTGGGCTGCCGCATAAAAAAAATATATATATATATATATATATATATATATATATATATATATATATATAGACATCTCTACGTCTTAGAAAAGCAGTCCATTTCTTAGCCAATAATATGCACTTGTCTTTCAGATCACTTCTGATTTGCTTATCATATATCGAAAAGCGGTCCATATAATAATCGTAGTTCCTGATCACGGAGTTTATGTAACATGGCTTAAAATCAATCTCGGTAGTGCTGATACGATATTTTCCTATCAACTATTTTCCTGAGTTTCAATCTTGTTTCAAATATTTCGATACCCTGTTTCATTCGTTGTTTTCAAATTATACTTCTAATGTTTTCATCCGACTTGTTTAATTTTTGTCCTACTAATTTTCTGTCTCTGTGCTAATGTAAAATTTCACCATTTGTAATACGTCCTAATTTGATATGATAGGTTAGATTTCGTTAGAGATTTATATCAACTATGAAACACTGAAAGCCAGAGAGTATTGAGTAAGTGTTTCCTATGTTTTGGAGGAGGGTTTTAGTGATTCGATGAAACAAATTTTTGGTCGTTAAAATCACTCTGATCAATGGACGGTAAGGAATGATAAAAAGTGTGGTTGGGTGATGGCTGCTCACCAGGCTGTATTCTTGACGTAATCCCTCAAATGATTCAAAATCACAGACAAGATCATTATCCAGATCAATATTTTTCTCATGTAGCAAAATAACGTGCTTATGTACAAAATATGAACACAAAATAAACATGATAAAATGTAGGCGATTGAAGAAAGTCAGTTTGTAGGTCATCCACTTTCCAATCAATTGCGATATGACTTACATTTAATACTGACCAATCTTGTCATCGTCTTATTGTTGAACTACTCAAGAATGTGCACTCCTATATGTCCTGATATGATCAAGGTTAGAGGGTCAGCTTTCCCCCTAGAATTACTTTTACACAGGAATGGGTTTATATCCTCTGCTAAGGAAGTCATATTTGCCACCTTGGTGCAGCTGCACTGTTTTTGGGGAAAAGAACGAAAAGCGAACATCTGGTACTTAAACCGTGTTAGTGAATACGGACGATGCATCTATAGCAGTTGGAAAACTTTTATTCAAAACCAGTGATGTACTTAGGATCTACGATCTTGTGTAAACAAATGGTGTGTAGACCTATCCTGGTCACCGACTGCCATGGAACTACATCTGACGTTGCTCGTTGTGGATTATAATTCTATGTCAGAAGCTGGGAGGTGGCTACCTAAAATAACCACTTGCTTCATTATGGGTGTCCTGGCAATATCCCAACCCACACACAATTATGTTAGTAAACAGTTATGAATATACTTCTCTACTCGTTCGACTTAGCTAAACCAAACACTCGTCCTAAAAATTTAGTCCAATGCGGTCGATATCAGTCTAATTTCAATTAAAGTCTCCATAAATCACAGCAACGGAACAAGTTGTATTGGTAAAATTCCAGAGATTTATTGAATAATGAATATCAGAGTTATTCTATGTGAAAGGTGTACTTTATGGTGGTTCGATTTGTCATATTTGTGAGTTTTTATTCTAACTACTTAAAGAACTAGCTTTGTTTGTGTTAGATAACCCTACGTATAAATCCTTTGTCTTTATTTGTCTCTTTTTTAAATCTAGGTGTGGACCTTGTAAAATTTTAGGTCCAAGGTTGGAAAATATAATGAAATCGTATATGAATTCTGTGCTACTCGCTAAAGTTGATGTCGATCAGTTAGATACTGTTGCCGAAAAATATAAGGTAAAATAGTTCTAACATTTAGGCTATTATTTATTTAATTTTTTGTTGTTTAGCATTTCAATTAATATGATACTGTGTAAATTTTAGACGTCTGTATCGTTTTCTAATGAATCAAATGTCGGTTGTCTGAAGTAGCATGAAAACATGTGACGGTGACTTTATTGGTTACTGTGTTCGACTTTCAATCATACTAGGTAATATGCTGGAATTCCACTCCACCTACTTCAGTTTGGGCAGCCTGATAAGATCATCAGCCTTCACAATTAATAGGTGGCTAAAAGCCCAGCATATGAATCTGTACCTGGTAAGCCGATTGCAACATAAAATATTATCATTAATTATGAATCGATTCTGAGGGTCTTGAGTTCTGTTTCATGTCAGGGTTATAAGTGTATGCATTTGTAAACAGTTTCCATCTATGAAAAAACAACTGTCCATTGCTCCCTGATGTACAATGGTTGTGTAGTTGAAGTTTATCTTTGATCGTTTAATACTATGTGCGAATGATTTCAATTGATATAACTTAATGTCATCACCAGTAGCAGGTGTGTAAAAATACACTCCGTTCAACTGATAGATGATGGCTACAAGTTCTTGTATATCAAACTTGTACATGATTAATGCATTACACAGCATCTGTCTATCGAATCATTGATTATTTCTTTCTTGTTTATTGTTGTTTAGATTAAAGTTGTTCCAACTGTGATTTCCATCAAAAATGGCAAAGAAATTGAACGTTTTGAAGGAGCCAAAGAAGAGGAATTCATTAGACGTAAAATAGAATATGTATTAGCGCATAATGGTTAGACGCGACAATTCAATATAATAACGTCTGAATTGATAATTTTCTTCAACTAATCAACCAATTAATAGATTTCCTATTGTTCCCTTGTTATTAAATATGTTAGGATGTTTTATGTGTGCATCTCTTAAAATGTATGATTGTTATATATGAAACTGGTTGCATTAAGTTTAAGTGTAACTATACTTGATCATTATTGTGTGCTTTTTGTTTCCTGTAAGTGAATGATATCTTCAAACTAGTCATAGTTTAATGAATGAAAAATTATTGAAATAATCGTGTTTAGTTGCGACTGTTTATGGAATTCAAAGGTGTGGGTTATGCTTATTTGGGATTCGTCAGTTAAATGTACGTGTCTTTCTGGAACTGCAGAGTAAGTAAGTAGTCCTGCGTTTAGGCGGATGGTTCTAGGTAGAGATGGTAATTTGGTTGATGAGATCAAATTCTTACTGACTGTGGTAGTCGAGATATATGCTACACATTTCGAGCTGACAAAATGCTATGCAAGCCAATATTGGGATAGAATAAAATAATAATAAGGCTGACCAAACCAAAATATAACGTCAATTATTGTTTGTTGAACTGAACTGTTTCCAAATGGCGGATACAATTCACCGTCGATATCGGTGAAATCATCGTGTTGTGTGCGATATTTGTCAGTTTTTACAATCAATTACTATAAAGGAGTTGTATTCACCCTTTATTATTATTTAGCTTTTGAGTTTTCATCATGTTATGCGCTTCCTAATCTTCAATCTCAAAGCCAAATTTTGTTTACTAACGATACCATTAATTTAGCGATCTCTTGTTATACTTACCAATTTTAAAACTACGAAAGAAATCCGTTGTGTCATTAAGCAAAAGACGGTTCAGCGAAGGAAATTTCTTTTTTGACAACATCACTTACTAATCCTGCGGTCTTGCATCTTTAGTTAAGCAAATTATATCAGTCCGCAGAAAAATATTACCATTAGTAAAGTTATAAAAAATCTGAGTATCAATTAAAGTTATATGATAAGGTAGCGCGAATCAAAATTAAGCATAAAATAGGTGTGGAAAATGTTATTCTCTTCCTTCTATTCTTCAGGTGAATAAATGTGTCAGAAACAGCTTACAGCGTATGAAGGGACTGTTAGGACCATGGTAAAAGAAGCGATTAGAAATACCTCTCTTGAACACAAAAACAAGGGTCGAATTAATAAATTGCCAGTCTCCGTGTTAGGGGTATTTGTTATCCAACTCTTGATAGAATCAGTTCATCTTTATGAATGATTCTGAATAAAGATTCCGGTGAAGGGCGATGAGTGGAATCGGTCAGTGATCTAAAGATGGGAATGTTGACTGATTTGGATTGATTGGCGGGCGTAAAGTATACGGAGAAACCAGTCAGGATTTCTTGGGAAGTTCATTCTTGCGTAGTGGATAGTATTAGTTTGTGATAAAAACCTCAATAATTCATCTATAAGGCTCGTTATTCGTGTTAAATCTGTTTGTCAATAATCCAAGTCTAGCGGCAAGCACTTAACTCCTAATCTGGCATTCGTTGGAATAGAAGTTTAACTTCAGTCAGTTCCAGATATTGGGCGGTTATTTTCCGATGTCATTGCTGGGTGACTGTCTCACCCCTGATAATGTTGAGCTCCACCGGTCACAGCTTCTCGCTAGCACTTCGTGGATCGCCTCTTGAAATTAGTCACTGATGAGTCCTTGGTTATAAATGGTCTAGGGGGTTTGTAGAAGATTCTGAATCTCATAGTTAACACCACTGTCCTGGGTTCCATCCCAGACAGAATTGTGGGTCTACACTCCTGGGGAGTCCCGTACTAGGAAGAAACATGTTCGGTGTTTCCTATTTTTAAATAGTGGTCTAATTAATATCAATCCGTGATGTGAACTATGAAACTCATTACTTATTAGTTATTTTTATCTTGTTCACTTCTGTTAATTAATTTCCTTATCTTTGTCTACCAAATAGACGCGCTGGATACACTGAACACTGTTTATGTTTCTGAAATGCATTGACTACTTTGACAATATATATGTTTCTAATTAGTTGTCGTTGAGTTGGTTGATATACAGTTGAATTAACCCAAATAAAGTTCACTTAATCTGGTGTTTCAATTAAAATATTCTGTACGACCTTGGGTTTTTCACTGTAGTCGGCTGGCAGGAAGGAAGAAGATGAAGGCATTCTCATTCATTGTATTGAAGTTCAGGTTGCTAAAAATAAACTTAGTGTAAGAACCTTGCAACTGTTGACAGGGATGACATTTTCCGGGAAATCTTCTAAAGATGATGATCTCTTTTGCTAACAACCACAAAATCAGTCAAATATTTCTTCTATTTCTCAAACTGATTCTGTTTGACTTACTGGTTGTCTTTTGAAAACACATTTCGTACTCTAGGTTATTTATCAATCTACAAGTTATTTAGATATTCAGTAAACACAGAACAAAATTCATGTTACTGTAAATACTTGTAAGCTTTACATATTCCAGACTAATAGCCAGTGGCTTATTTGGTGAAATTATGTTATACTAAAAATAAGGGTTTGCTACGAAGAATATAGGAAATATGGGACTTGATTAACTATTCATTGGTGAGTTTTTCTATATTGTTAATACAATCCTCGTTGTAAGCCATGTTATTACAATCCTGAGTGATTTATCCCATTTTTTGGACAGACTTTACTAGTTCAGGCAACATGTAACCGACGTGTCATTTTTACCTTCCGGATAACTCTACTCTCCTCATAGGAAATTGTAATCTTCAGTACATATATCGGCGAGACTCTAATTTAGGGACGAGCCAATCAGAAGCGTTTGAGCAATTTCAATTACCAGTCAATCAGAAGACAGTATAAAGTAAAAATATATAATAAGAAAGTAATGAATTACAGTAGATATCCTTCTTTTACATGATTTAAAAACTTGTTAAGGTTTGATAAAGGTTCAGAGGTTCTGAATTCATAATACGGTATAGAAACTTGTCCATACGGTTAGGTTAGGGTTGTAGCCTCTCAATAAACACCTCTAAAATCCGTTGTAAATCGATCGTATGTTAGCATCAAGTGTTGAACTTGGCTCCATGAACTTGAAATTGCTCAAACGCTTCTGATTGGCTCATCCCTAAATTGGAATCTCGCTACCCTAAGCCTATGGACCAGTTTCTATACCGTATGCATTATGAATTCAGAACCTCTGGACCTTTATCAAACCTTAACAAGTTTTTAAATCATGTAAAAGAAGAATATCCACTGTAATTCATTACTTTCTTATAATATGTTTCACCTTATACTGACTGTCTTCTGATTGGCTAATATTTGTCAAGGTCATTTAAGATTCATTCAAAGGTCGTCCCTAAGCTAGAGTCTCGCCTATCTGTTAATGCCCGTCACCTTCTTGGGACTATCTTGAGTTATATTAACACTTGTAATGAGAAATATTCTGATTACCCACCTCTGCCTCTCTCTCTTCTCACTTCTTTTCCTCTTGCTAAAATGTATATGTGGAATATAAACATCCGAAACGCTCGCATTTGACTTTCGATATACCGTTCTAAACGCGTTAAGTCAAAAAACATATACAGAGTAAGTAGGATCTGTATTTCGTCTACATCATTAACTATTCTGTCTCGTTGGTGTCAGACCATGTGGACTGAAGTCTTTAACACGATAATCTTTACCTTATCTTTTGTTGTTCATAGATTACGGCCAGTTAGCCATGAATTTATACAAGTCAGCTTTCTACCAAAAAATTTCCTTGTTATCTACTTATTAGGATCCATAATTCTTGTTCATCGTGATCGGTTATTTCACTTATAAGTCTGAACAGTATATGGTATAATTGTACTTTACCGAAAAACTTCAAGGACTCATGAAATGACCTTGAAAAATGAATAACCTATTTCTAGCTAACAAATGAAAGTGTTTTAAGTGGAAAATTTACTCTATGAAATGCCCCATTACACTTGAGAATTCTGATTTGGGTTAGAAATCAGAGTTACCGTTAGGTATTTGATTCGGGAGTTATGGTTATGAATCAAGTGGAAGAATGTTTCGTAGTAATATAGATGAATACTTATTTAGTTAGTTCTCTCGGAAATCCATAAATTCTGATCTTTATATCTTAGTCAACCTATAGTTATCCATTTTAGTCGTCTCAGAAACAAAATATAGGTAGGTTTTACTAAGCTTTAATGAGATGCAAGCTATACGTTATCTTCTGGATTTTGAGAAAAACCCCAACATAAGCCAACTTTGTTCGTCGGTAAAATATACTTACACTGTGACAGTTACTTGTGGCTACACATTTGGTTTCCTTATTAGGGGTTCGGTGATTGAAATTCGCATGATCTATATGTTCTGTGTATCAGAGTTATTGAACTTATTGTTGATAGTATAGACGAGAATACAATGGGTTTGTCAATAGAAAAACAAGTTACAGACTTCAAAAATACTATGAGAGCAACCACTGTAATAATTCTGATCATAGTCAGTCGAAATTTAGGTAACCGAATTGAGAGAGAATTCGAATTGAATTATGGACATATCTACAAAACAATTTTTCTACCTTATGCAGTTAAACAAATTATCACTGAATAAGTTCACGACTTTGTGTTTTCACGACATAAATCCTACGGGACATTGAACAAAATATTTGGATAAAGTATCAACAAGTGACTTTTCCTTTAGTATCTCACTCGGTCTGTATTTTCCTCTGGATCATGAGCTGCATTATTCCTCCATAAACTTTTCCATTTTGTCTTTTTGAGGGAATTTTTGTCATTTTAACTGTTACTACATTATTTTGATTCGTTTGCTGTTTGTCTTGCCAATTTCATCTCATCGTCCTAAAGTGGTATGACATTTTAGACAAATCACATTTGTGTCCAGCTCTACATCAATTATGGTTGATTGTTATCTTTATGGCTTTTCTATTTTTAAATCTAAAGTACTCTACTGAGTAAGATCCACAATGTTTCTTATGTTCAATAAATTTGTTGAATCCACTACTTTCAGCCGTTTTCACGTTCATTTAACAATTGAGTTCTGCATACCATACCAAAGCGTAATTCTCATTGAAGATGTCATCCTAATCCCTTATTTTCACCATGCATGTTTTTCATTCAACATGTTTGGAAGTAAAAAATTTATAGGAAACTAGAAAATACCATTTTTAAACAGTGGAGATAAATTTTCACCTGACCCCTTGAAAATTTATTCTTTTTAACTAACTTATGGAGAGATTCTTTTTTAATAAGTACCCATACATTTT